GGGCCGCCGGACCGCAGCCAAGCCGGGCTGCACCGCCGCCGCCTCCCTGCCTCGGGAAGGGAGCACGCGCGCGCGGGGACGAGAAGGCCCGCCGCCGCCGGTACCACCCGGACTAGCGTCGGGGGCGACCACCGGCGGCGGCGGGGGAGACGGGGGAGGAGGGGGGCCGCTGGTAAGGAGCTCGAGCTCCGCCCCGGCCACCTCCCGGGGAGGCGGCACGAGGCGGATCTGGACGGGAAAGGGGGAGGTGGGAAGGGGACGGAGGCGGGGCGTGAGGCCGGCGGCCGGCGGCGGCGGGAGGGAAAGGGGCGGAACCCTAGCGGGCTAGTCGCGGGAGCGGGAGCCTCGCGCGGGCCTTTCCATGCCTTGGTTTTCATTAACACAAATTAATAAACCTTCAAGTAGCACATCTGGATTACAGAACTCTGCATGCCCTGCCCAAGCGGCATGAAACGACACTTGACATTTGCTAAGAAACAGAACACTTGGCATATTTTGCATTGCATAATTAATTAACTAACACCTTCTAGGCACTTGCCGTGCCAGTATTCGCTGAAACATTGGCTGCACAATTCGCCCTCTGGTCCAGCCAAGAGATGATGTCGGAGTAGACGCGCTCGGCGTCCTGAGGGAACTCTGCCATGAGCGCGTGCCACATCCCAGGGTAGAGCTTCAAGTCCTTGTCCCCGCTCGACGCTTCCTCGAACAGCAGCTTGCTCACCGAAGGATCCGTCACGATGTCGTCTCCTCCGTGCAGCACCAAGAACGGCAGGCTCACCTTCCAATCTCAAAACGTTAGTAGCTTCTCTGTCTTTCTCCATGAACCTAATTTACTGTCTTACTGAGACTACACGCATGGCACACCATGAGGTGGGCAGACTAGGAGAGAAATTAGACAGTTTTCTAACTAGGAAGGGAGATTACCTCGTGCAAGTTCTTCTCAATGTCTAGGCTCACCATGAGGAGTTCATGACAGGTCTTCAATGGGAGCTTTCCCCTGTAAATATACGGATTGGAGCGAACCTGCACGCAAACACCCATACTAAATTCAGCAACCATCAACAATACTCACCTTTTCTTCCAGTCGTTAAGAGCCTTATTAAAAGAAGTTGGTACATATGACTGAGTACCTGTTTTCTCATCTCTGGATCTTTGCAGACTTTGTCGATGATGTCCGGGATGGGTATGATCCTCCAACCGGGCGCCACCGCGCATACCATCTTCAGAGCGCTCACCACCACCGGATGAGGCCTCATGTCATCAGAAATCTGATACCATATAACGAATTAACAAACAACCATGCACACAAAAATCACCACGAAAACTCACCCCCGTGTTGCTTTATTTATAAAGGGGGAGAAAAAACAGAGAAGACCTTGCACATTGGAGCAAGCAGAACGGCGCCGTCCCAGTAGGCCGGCTCCTTCCTGTGGAGGAGAAGCGCTATGCTCCCGCCCATGGAGATCCCGTACAGGAACCGCTTCTTCCCCCTGTTCTCCGGCTTATCTGAAATTGGTCAGACGCCACAAATTCAGAGCTCAATTGGTGTTTTCAGTTTGTGTACCCGGCATAGTTCAGTGAGCCGTCCGTACCGCAGACGCTCATGAAATGGCTGGAGCAGTCGGCAACGACGTCGCTGAAGTTCGGCACGTAGCATCTCTGGCCAGACGACCTGCCGTGCCCCTCGTGATCTATCCCGTAGACGGCGTACCCGGCGCGCACCAAACGGGAGGCAGTATCTGGTCATTGATTTCCTGCAGCTTGTCAGTATCTAGCATCTACTCACCGTAGTTCGTCCATTTTTAGAACCTAAGGGTTGTGAGTTCTACTACCTCTCATTGATACACTGCACTCTGCTGCAATCCCTGGCGAAGAGAAACCAAAAACAACTGGCTCTTTTATTTGCGAATTGGTCGAGTAGAGAACCAGAGATATATAGTGGGAAGTGCACCAGTACCATGGCAGATGAATATCAAAGCTTTGGGCTCTGAATTGTGCGGCATCCATGAGCAGGTGAACAGCTTGGTGTCCCGGGAGTTCACGATAAACTCCTGGAAATTGAGTCAGACTTCAGAGTTAGCAAACGCGAGCAACGATGATGAAAATTAAAACCGTGTTTAGACTTCGGAGTGCTGCGGCAATACGAACCGACCTCTTCATACTTGACATCATCGGTGCACTGATCCTGCAAAACCAAAATGTCACGGTTTGGACCTGGATCATAACAGTATGAAATGGCTGTTGTAGGATGCTCCTTATCTTACCATAGCCATGTCTTCAGAACTCCCTTTGAACAAGTGAACTTGATTGACATGATGCATGCGTGTACATACATATATACTACTGCACCTTGAACACATAGAATCGATCCTCTAGTCTAAGAAAAAGAACACACAGATCGGCCAACCCCACAAGAAACCGAAGCAAGCCAACGGTATGGAACGGCGTAGTACGAGTCCAAAAATGCTAGACTTAGACTTACGTACGAGTCTGTGTGCAGATGGTGGCACCGATTACTTCGCAAGGGAGATTTAAACCTGCAACTTGCGAAGCGAAACCCCGGCGAGCATGGAAAACAAAGCGCGTGAGAGATCTCTGCGAGTGCACTCGGTCAGAATCAGTGGTACAGTCAGTTCATCTATTCTCAGTCACGTCGCAATCTAATTCCAACAGGAAAATCATCAGATCCACAGATTTGGTTGCCAAAAAGATGCACCGACTATGGAATTCAGAGCTTCAGATATCGTTCGTGTTATTGATCATATCTGTCAAACATAATACTAGCAGTAGTACGGTGGTTCGTTATTGTTCGTGTAAATTTATTTGCATCGCGTGCTCTAAAATTTCAGAGTGGTTCAGCAGCAGCTGGCGTTCTTGTGAAGCAGACGTCGTCTTCCGGCAACGGAACCGGCTGCCAGCCGGTGCAGGACTCCAGGAGCTCCTTGAGCGCCATCGACGCCGGCTGGACCGACCACGGCCTGTAGCAATCCCGGACCTTGAAGTCCCACTGGCCGTCTTCTGCAGTTTCCAAATCATTTTCGGTGTGCTCCTTCGCGCCGTTCAGGAACAGGTCGCCTTCAGACCGGATGCGCCCACTTGAACTGCAGTCCCTGTCCGCCGCCTGCATGAATCACAAACTCAAAGCGTTTCAGGTACAAAAAATGAAATGCAGATCTGTAAGGCCCAGTGTAAATGTAATACGAGACCTGCTCGCTCATGTACGTGAACACTTTCTTCTTCTCCCCTGCCTCGTAGATGTTGCACTGGGAGACAATCTGCAGCCATACCAAGCGTACAGATTAGCACTACTACACACTACACACGCCTATGGCATGTGGCGTATGAGCAGTTTCGCGTGAACCGCACCTGCGACTCCACGCTGGCGCAGACGGCGTAGATGCCCCAGCCCCTGGTGTAGTTGTTGTAGAGGTGCACCCGGCCGAACCGGACGCGGGGCTGCCGCTGCCGCGTGCCGTCGAAGAGGCAGTGGTGGATGGTCACCCGGATGCGCCGGTCCACGACGTGCTCGCTGCTGGCGCCGATCAGCACGGCCTTGTCGTGCGCCGAGAAGCGGCACCGGGAGACCGTCACGTCCGTGCTGCCGCAGGTCACGTCCAGCAGGCCGTCGGCGAAGTCGCGCAAGCTGCAGCGGTCCACCCACACGTGCCTCGACCCGGGCTTGATCTGGACGGCGTCGGCGTCGTGCCCGCGCCCGCCCTCCACCTCCAGGTTGCACAGGATCACGTGCTCGCACTCGCGAAGAAGAAGGCCCTTGCCGGACAGCGTCACGCGCCGCCCGCGGCCGTCCACGGTCTTCTGGGAGGACACGCGCAGCCCCGACGCGAGGCGGATGGTGCCGGACACGTCGAAGACGATCCACAGCGGCTCCTGGCGACGGCAACCGTCGCGCAGCGACCCGGGCCCGTCGTCTTAATTAACACATCTTCAGCTTCAGCACTATGAATCCATGGCAGAATGACAGAAGATGATGGTGCAGAGAATTGACGGAGAGATGGTGCCGCGCGTACCATTGAGGGTGGTGACGTGGTAGACGTCGCCGTGGAGGCCGCCGATGGCGTGCCGGCCGAAGCCCTCGGCCTGGCCGGCCATGGCGCGCAGCGACGAGTCCACGGCTGCGTACGGCATCAGCGTGGTTTGCGGCACGCTGCCGGGTTGTTGCTCGTCGGAGAATCGAGGAGGGGCTGTGTCTTCCACGGCCGGCTCATCACTGAAATGCTCGTCGGGGTGAGGAGGAGTAATGTCCACCATGGCAGGATCGTCGACGAGCTGCTCGTCGGACTGAGGAGGCGCCATGGCGTAGGACAGTGATCGAGTGAACCAACAGAGAACATGTTGGTTCGGTATTTGTCGAGGCGCGCTCGGGAAAGAACGGCTGCTGTTTACTGTCGGACTTTAATTCTCTGGGCCGTTTTCACTGGTGAGTTGTGTCGCGGGGGCGTTTCAGGCCGGCCCAAAGAGAAGTAAATTTGAAACGGAGAAATACTCCTAAATACTCTCTCCAAATAATTGTCTCAACTTTTGTACTCCCTCCGTTCCAAAGTAAGTGTCTCAACTTTGTGTTAATTTTAGTACAAAGTTATACTAAATTTAAGACATTTATTTTGGGATGGAGGGAGTACAACTTTGTATTTCCGGAGGGCACCTCCGGAGGTACCATTTTAAGATGGAGGGAGGGAGTACCATTTTTTCGAATACGAAAACGGTTATGTCACGCCCACAAGGAAGGGCACCCCTAGCCTACCCAACCATCCACAAAGACCCACCCATTCCATCAAGAAGAGAAACACCGTCGAAATTGTCACTTGTCAGCAAGCTATCATCATTCTAACTTACCTCAGAAGCCTTCACCCTAATGGACACACGAGATTTCTGTTGGCCCATGCCAAATACTCGGGCAAACACGTCAAGGAGTAGGTATCTTCGACTTCTATAACAAGTCTCGCAGGAGAGATGCACACGTTGCACCTAGTCGCAACGTCAGGTCACAGGCAGGTTGGGCCATGGCATGGGGCGTGATGGAAAAGTCAGTACTACAGATCCGAACAACACTTACCGGCCAATGTGCATCATCACTAACTAGTATATGTCCAGTCGGTGCCCCAGGGTCAGTGATGGCTTAGCAATTACACATGGGCCAGTTGTCCGGTCACATATGTTTGTTTTCCGGCAAGGCAAATGAATTTTAGGAAACCACAAAACCTAATATGCACTCATCCATATTGCACAATCACTTTACTTTTCATATCACAAAAACATATAATTAGGGTTCACTATTGTCATATCCATTGGACGTACTTCATAGACAACATATGGAATATATTTTTAAAACCTACAAAGATAAGTCCTTTGTGATGTGCTAGTAATATATTGCCATCCACAGTAGGCCACATGTCTCGCTTCTTCATTTCCCTTTATTACATCTCCATATAAGCCTTTTGTGATTTGCACAGATATGCACATCAGAGGAGCTACCTGGTGGAGAAAATGAAGCTATTTTTTTGTGCAGTGCGGCTAAAATATAATCAGTTCAAAACATATTCACAAGCAAGTTATGACTTAGAATATAACTTATGAGTATGATTGAACTAAATGAAAATGAAAATTGCTTAGAACAATTATACCTTCGAAGTTAGTCTAGAGGGACCCCGGGTGCTGAAGGATTGAGACGCTAGAAGTCTCGAAGGCACAATCATGTGGAGTAGTAGATGCTTACTGCTAAGACTTCCTATTCTCTCCAACAATTTTTGTGCAATGCGACTAAAATATAATGTCGCTACCGCCTTTGATATTTTATCGACATTTTATAAATAAAAATTGACTTGTATTTACTACACCAATTGAAGTTTTATAATATATGAAAGAACATGTCGTGCCCTCATGTTTGGTTTTGGTAATTGATGACAATCTCTACGGACTAATGATTGCCTTGAGTTATATTTGAAGGGTTTCTCCATATATATTTCTTGAAGTCCATATGTTGGTTTGAAGGAGTTTATGTGTTGACCAAGGTGCTATTCAAGGAATTATCCAAAGATTGATCATGGATAAGACATAATACAAGGTTGATCATGACTAAGTTAAAGAGTGAATCAAGTTGATCAACGCACAAAGCGTACAAGATGTACCGAGAGCGATCAAGTGATCCCATGACATGGTAAGCATTGTCCATTACACTTTTTGTACTAACTCGTAGTCTACGTGAGACTTCTATGTGGGGTTAGGAATGTTTCCATGGGCTTGCGTCAAGAGGAAGATCTTATACAACCCATGGAGGATGACATCAAGTGGTGATCGTCATCAAGACTGCGGTGTGCAAGTTTAAGTGGAGCATCACAGAGAGATCATGCTTAAAGCTTGTTGTCCATTGTGGTGACAATGGACTTGTGAAGATGTGTCGAAGAGTGGCTCACCCATAGTGGAGTATGGGAAAGCAATCAACTAGTCTTCATCGAGCCAACACAATCAAGAAAGGTGGTCCAACTTGAGAAAGTCAAGATCTTCATCATCTAGCTCAAGTGGACTATGTGCAAGGCAAAGGTTTGTCCTTGATAGGTCTTTTATTTTACCAGTCTCATGGTGGTAGTTGGGAGACCGGATTATACGATCGATTGTCGTAATACCAAGGGGGGCTCTCAAGTAAGTAGCTTGATCTTTTCATTCGTAAAGAGCTCAAACCATTGCATTCTTGCATCATCTTTCTTGGTTCTTGTTTGGTGTTTCTCTTTGTGAGTTTTAGAGCTTTTGGTCATCTTCAAGACAAGCTCGAGTTCATCGAAAATGGAGTTCATATATGCATCTTCTATGATGTTTTCGATGTTGGAGTTTTTGTCGGTTCTTTACTGATAGAGGTTTCACATCTCTGTTTCTTAGGCTTTCTCCCCCCGCCACTTCTTAGGTTGGATAGTATTTGTCGTCATCTATCCAACAATCTTGATTTTTCTCATTTCGAAGCTCATTTGCAGAAGTTGTGGCAGTTCAGGCTTTATTGTATCCATCTGTTTCTCTTAGGCAGTTTTCAGCTCCTAAGCGGTAGTACCGCTCGAACCCACGGTAGTACCGCTCGTACGGTACTTCCGTTATGAGCTACCGCACTCTCTTTCGCTTGTTTTCAAGCTCCTATAAATGGGTGGCAGTAGCACAGTAGTAGAGGGCGGTGGTACCGCCCGTGCGGTACTACGGTAAGTCCACTGCCACTGCCACTACCGATTATTTTTGGACTAGTGTAGTCTTTCTGCTCTTGTAGTACTAGGGTGGTAGTACGGCGCGTTAGTATTGCTTCCTGTGGTACTACCGCCTTGTCGCCACCTAGTATCATCGTTTCTCTATACTACTTGGCCTTTAGCGGTAGTACCGCTCATAGGAGCGGTAGTACCGCTTGTGCACGGCCTGTGCACATAACGATTGGATTTGTCCCCACCTATAAAAGGGGGTCTTCTTCCCCATTGAACCTAATCTTTCGAGCTCGTGTTCTTCCCCTGTTGTTGACCTTCTTCGAGCTTGCTAACTCTCAATCCATCCATGGATTCTTGCTAGTTTTTTAGGGAAAAGAGAGAGGAGATCTAGATCCACATTTCCACCAATCACTTTCTCCTCTATGTGAAGGGAACCCCTTGGATCTAGATCTTGGAGTTCTTCATGATCTCTTCTTTGTTCTTCCTCTCATTTTCCTCCATAGCATTAGTTGTAGTGGTGGGATTTGGGAGAGAAGGATTTGGGCACTCCGTGTGCCCTTACCATTGCATTTGGTGCATATGTTTGAGTTCTCCACGGTGATACATGGAAGTGAAAGTTGAGAAGCCTATCAATCTTGGGTGCTTGGTACCCTAGAGCTTGTTCCTCTTGGGTGCTTGGGCGCCCTAGACGGTTGGTGGTGCTACGGAGCTCAATCATTATGGTGTAAAGCTCCGGGCAAGCGTCGGGGGTCTTCAATTAGGTTGTGGAGATTGCCCTGAGCAATTTGCATTGGTTCTGGTGACCGCCCTAAGGGTTGCCAACTTGTACGGGTACAATGACCGCCCCAAGAGTTGCCATTTGTATGGGTTCAGTGCCCGCCCCCAAGGGTTGTCATTTGTACGGGTTCGGTGACCGCCCTCAAGGCTCCCTTAGTGGAATCACGGCATCTTGCTTTCTGCGAGGGCGTGAGGAGATTACGGTGGCCCTAGTGGCTTCTTGGGGAGCATTGTGCCTCCACACCGCTCCAAACAGAGATTAGCATACGCAAGGGTGTGAACTTCAGGATACATCATCGTCTCCGCATGCCTCAGTTATCTCTTACTCGAGCCCTTTACTTGTGCATTTTACTTTGTGATAGCCATATTGTTTCATGTCATATATCTTGCTATCTGTTAGTTGTATGTCTTGCTTAGCATAAGTTGTTGGTGCACATAGGTGAGCCTAGTTGTTTTAGGTTTATGCTTGTCAAACTAAATGCTAGTTTTATTCCGCATTTGTTCAAGCCTAAGCCGTAATTATTTTAAAGCCTTTATTCACCCCCTCTAGGCGACATACACGATCTTTCAATATACATGCAACAAAGATAAAATGTAGACCTTCGACAACATAACAAACCTTCGTACAACACCACTAGAATAATTTCACATAACTAGCCACATCTTTAACACGTGTATAGGCTAGTGCAACAACATTGCAATAATTGGACTAAGCTCTAACGGCTTGATAGTTTCTATACACATTAGCTATGCACAAATCTAAATCTAACAAGTTTCATGACCGGTGTCATGCAAAACCATTATAACGGTTTCACTTAACTCATAATCCTTAATAGTCATATTTATTAATAAAATGGTGCTACCACCATGATTGCCACCGCAACTGAAGACGAGGCAACACATGATAGGTCTACAACAGCGCACGAGGGAACCATCACTGACCAGTCACTTTTAGACTCGTTTGTGATTGCAATCTAGAGAAGCCTAAATCACCTTATCACTGACGTGACTAGTTGGTCGGTGCTAAGGCTCAATCCACTTGTCCCTCCCTGAGTGATAAAGGGCCAGTAGTGTTCGAATCTGTCATACTGAGTGATACGTCTCCAACATATCTATAATTTTTTATTGTTTCATGTTGTAATATTATCATTCTTGGATGTTTTACAATCATTTTATAGCAACTTTATATCATTTTTTGGGACTAACCTATTGACATAGTGTCCAGTGCCAGTTGCTATTTTTTTGCTTGTTTTTTACTATGCAGAATATCAGTACCAAACGGAGTCCAAACACAGCGGAACTTTTTGAAGAATTTTTTGGACCAGAAGACACAAGATGGGCCAA